ACATATTGAGAATATCTGCAATATCTTTCGTGTAATATCATATCTCGTATATTGATGGTATACAGGGAAAGAGGTGTAGTGATTACCATATCGACATATTTAAACGCGAAACTAACTACTATCGTTGAATGTGTAGCTGTAGATGATAAGGGAGAAAGTGGTCTATCGAAGAGCAATCGGTCAAGTTATAATATTTATTAACTCATTAGGTTGCAATGAGAGGCCGCCAATACACTGCTGTGCGTGGATAGACATTTATCTGATAAATCGTTCAGCAGCGCAACTTAAATATTGCGTTGATATGAGTTTCGGTCATTAACTAGCTCTAAATTGTAATATATTTCTTTAATTAACATATTTCTAACGAGAGTCAATCACTGTGACAAGTATACCAATCATTATGACATAAATGCCAATTACTGTGATTTTAAATTCACTATTTTATTTTGAGCAGCACATATTTTATGTTTATATAACTATGTATTCTTGTAGCGTAAAATCTTGGCTAATTTTTGCAAGAGAAAACGAATTCTACTAGTATCAGTTTTACGTCGAGAGACAGCTTAAAATAGAAATGTGTTCTAAAACTGCCACACATTATCACACATTATACATCTGCTCCCCTATTCAGGGTATAGGAATTTAGAATACGATATTCTCAGCATATTACGTATATTCTCAGTATGTTCTCATTATATTCGGTACGTGTCTCGAATATTCTAAAAATACACGTGATACACTTTTACGATATTCGTGGGACATTCTTAGAATCTACTTGTGCTGTGTGGGATAACCACAAAAGTAGTAGTAGCAATATACATGTAAGGTTATTATCACTATTATTATAATAACACTTACTAGAAAAATAGTTGTCCTGGTTACATTTCTTTCACTATGTCAGCTATAAATACCGAATATTTTTCTGTTAGTGTATGAGTTTACATCTAAATATTATAATATAATAAGAGAATAAAATAAGAGTATAAAATAATAAGAGAATGACATAATAAGAGAATAAGAATATAAGAAAATAAAGAACGAAAATCATTACATATATATATATATATATATATATATATAATCTATTTCTAATAATTTCTAATTCTCCAACGTTCTTAGTTGCGTGACACGGGACACTTACGTCCGTATCTTTGCCATGGATACAAACGACGAGCCATTTCGAGCGACCCGGGTGTAAGCGCGCGCGCTCGCTCGTGCGATATAGTTCCACGCATTACGGCCGCATTTGCAACCTGGGAGGCCCGGAGGATAATGCGAAACGAGAACCGGGGTAACACCGATCGGCGGCGGAGGCAACCTGGCGGTTCGATATCGCGCCCCCGGGTGCGTCGCGTTTTAGCCGTTGGAGCGTTGGATTTCTCGCTGGAACGTAGAGAATAAATAACACGCGAGGGGGCGCGTCCATTGTTTTCTCTGTGACGATAACCAACGAGGATAACGATCTCGGATCCTCCCGGAGTCTGGCCGTTCTCACTCGGACTCTTTTCGTCGCGATCTCCCACGAGAAGGATTTCCCGAACTCGTTTCGCGTCAAGAGCGAGAGAACGGACGGATATAACTCGCGAGTTTGTAAAAATGACGTATCGCGCGACCGATCGTTTGTTCAAACCGTCGCGTAGCGGTACTGTAGCCGCATTAACATTCTTTTATATCTCCCCACAATACCGGCGCAAATGTAAATGTCTCGCGCCTCGAATTTCCATTCGACGCCCACGTGCGCGCCGGCAATGGGTTAAGTCATAGGAACGCCTGTGTTCTTTGGAATACCTAATCCTGTAAATCACACGTCGAATTTATCGTCGAGCCTTGCGCAAGCCTAATCGGTCATTTTGCTCGGAGGAATATGGAAGTTGTAAATTGCGTAAGTGGTGCAAATTGAACCGATACCGGCTTGCTTGGAAACTCGAATATCTAGCGCCGCCGAGCGTGCTTGTGGAATCGACGAAGTGTACGATTCGATGGACAAATTCTTGGATATTTCACGTCGAAATATGATATCGTGATTCGCCAATCAATGAACAATCTTAAACTATCGCGTCGGTATTCAAGGGAGAGTGACACAATGTCGGAGATCACGAGAACGAAGATGCTTAGGCCGCAGGAATTTCGGCAGAAGGTCGTAAAAGGTGATCGAATCGCCGGCCCGAGTCATGCGTTCGCGCGCACTTGGCGTTTTACGCGCGGACTTAGAGAGACGGCGAGATTTGCGTGGGATTGGAATGTATGCGGGGCCCGATCGCGTTTTATGCTCGCGCCTTGCGTGTGGTATCTTCGCGTCATCGATTCTCTAAAAATAATTTACGCAAATCACGATGACACACGCGCTACTTAGCCCGTGACTTTCCTTCGCTAGGCCCGAGTTTTTGCAATTAAAGCGCCACCACGAGAGAGAGAGAGAGAGAGAGAGAGAGAAAGGAAATCGACGTTACGATCCTGAACGTATCATCCCGCGCGATTTAATTTGCAGCCCGTCGGAATTAACATCGTGATGCAGCTCGAACAGCTCGTTATTTGGCACGAGCAGCATGCCTGTGTGCAGGAAGGATAGCGATTATCTCGTGTGATAATTAAACGAACTGTCCCGTCGTCGGTGGAAGTCGCTAAAAATTGCAAACAAGTTGTCGAGCGCCATTAATGCGAAGGATAAACCGGTGCAACCACGATCTATTTAAAGAAATTATGACCGCGCGCTGTGTTGCGTCGCATAAATGCGCCGCCGCGTACGTTCTACTTTATCACGCGAATTCTTCGCACAGATTTCAAGCAGCGAACGGGCAACAGTGCGAGGACGACGCGTTCCATGTCCAAAAATTTTCCATTGAAAACCATCCGCCAGGGACAAACCAGCGTCAATCGTTGAGCGAAAATTTCAAGATTCCCCCCCCGAGGTACCTCTTATCGAGGAAAAACATTGACTTCAGATATCACCAGCCGTAGAGTTCGTAGCGAGGAGAGGGAGTTGGCGTGACTTTGTGCGCATCGTGTATTTTACGCGCAACGGAATATCTCGAGTGCCACATATGCATTTCTGCAAGTAATATTTGGATTTTTTTTCTACGCGAGCATCGGCGTCTCGACGGACGCGTGTATCGCGCGACGCCTTCGGCGAGCCTACTCGCGTGCACACCGGCGGTGTCGCGAGAGAGTGCAAGGACCGTCGGGACGCAGTTGCAGCCGCACGGTTACTAGGCAGAGACACTCCGATCCGATGCAAATGCGTTCTCGACACCCGACGGGATCTCTGCTAGACGTGTAGGCGAGAGACGTCCATCCTTTCTCGCAGGACCACTCCGGAGCTTCTAAGAGCTCGCGTCGGTGTCCTCCTGCCATTGGCGTCGCGAGCTTGTTGTCTCATTGTCGTTCAAACAGTTCGATGCAAGTAGGCGAGGAATAGATGCAACATCGCTTCACGGTGACAAATGTTATTCGAGAGATTCTCCAGATCGAAGATCATCTTAAAACGTCTTAAAATCCCCGGTATGATTTGCACTTTAATTAGGAAGTTGAAATATTTGTCTAAATAAGTGCATTAGTTTGTTTCAAGCTCGATCTATTTTCTGTTCTATATATCTGTTGAATATTACCTTTCTATTAATCTATCTATTGAAAATTTGGTCCCGCATTTCGTGTCTAAATTTAATCAAGCGTACGATCCGTTCTCCTTTCCGGCCCACCCTGTATACGCACGACTCCGCGGGAGTCGCTCGCAACTTTCCATATCGAGAAGTTTTAAAGCTACGCTTTGGTAGTGGGATAAGCAGGAACGCCTACACGCGTGCGACTCTTTGAACAGAAGTCGATAGTGCATACGTGAAAGAGATTTACTCGGCGAGGTTCGATATCAGAAGTGCATGCACGATATAATTTCATATATGCCGTTTCGTCTATATTTGATTCACTCTTGTTTCCAAAATAGGAGAGAGATTCTGATAACTTGGGCGCCGTAAGTTTAACAGTCGTTTTAATCATCTTTTTGGAAAGAAAGAAAAAAAAAACAGAAAAACGATGCAGAATATCGTTACACGATAATGTCATTTTTGAGCTGCGAATACATTTACCTCGTCGGAATTGTGTTTACCATATAGATTTCGTTAAAAGAATGCAGACGTGTGTCTGTATTCACGCTGACATAAGATAACAATGAAAGATGCGCACGTGGCAAAATAATATCGATCTATTATATAGAACGTTTTTCAACGGTGCAAAAGTGACGATATCTTCGGCGCGCTTAGAACTATATGTGACGTGGATTCCGAAAACATGTATATCAGTGGTACACCACAAGACATAAAACTGGAGGATGGACATCGAATCAGACATTGTAAAGGGTATAAATATCTAGGAATGAAGCTCACACAAGAGGGAACATTAGATGTAGCAATAAGGAAACGAAATATACAAGGAAGAAGAGCCATTTCCATGTTAAACGGAATACTGTGGGACCAGAGCATATCCAAGGTGAACAAAAAAATAATATACCATCGTGAGAAGCATCATAACATACGACAGTAAAATGTAATAATTGAAAGATAACACAGAAAAAATACAACTGGCCACTGAGATGGACTTTTTGAGAAGGACGACAGGAAAATCCAGAAGAGAATATACAACAAATGCAAGAATCCGTGAAATGATGAACGTCAACCGTATGGTAAACGATGGTAGACGATATTAGAACAAAACAATTGATATATGGTACGGCCATATGTAACGCATGACCGAAGATAGACTATCTAAGCAGGTATTGAACTGGACTCCACCAGGAAAGAGAAGACGAGGACGGCAAAGGAAAAGCTGGCGAGAGCAAATAACAAAGGAAATGAGAGAGAGAGAATTTGAGGAAGACCTATGGGCTGATAGGGAAAAATGGCGATTGGGTATCGGAAAACGTCGTAGAACATTATGAACCGATCGTATGTATATATATATATATTTTTTTTTTTTTTTTTTTTTTATTATGTGCAGGCAATGGACATGTAGGCAGCCGAAACCCCTGATCGAATTAATAGAGCACTGAATGCCACTGTTGCTTAACTGGATTTTGGAAAATATATTGGACTTATTAATGTTACCGAAATTAACATTGGAGGTGGAAGAATGGAATCCTCTTACTGACACTGTGTCTATACATGGATTCATCCTTGGTTGCTATTATTGCGTGAATATACATATGCAACACGTATTAATCAGTGTGCACACACACACACACACACACACACACACACACATATATGTACATTCAGAAATCTTACAGCATATTTACGGTATGAATACAACAAAGTGACTATACAATTTGAACAATTGCAGTTAATTTCATACAGAATCGGTTCAGATATATCTAACAAGGCATTTAAATGCGTTGTTAGATATGCATCCAATTGGCATCTAATTTGTACTATTGTGGCACACAATCAACACGTTGCTATGGATGTATGCCTGGACGTTTCCCACTTTGTACTCGTTTGGCTTCTTTATATCTATTCGGGATCGGTATAAACAATATACCACGTTCCTCGCACTTCTTTTGCACGAGATCCTTGAAGCTCTGCGGGATCTGCAAAGCGGTTCGCACTGCCCCCGCGAATCCCTGCGAACAACACGATATATTCAATATGTAACCAATTATAACATCGTGTATTTTAAGTTTGACACTTAACGCTTGACAATATTATACCTCTATTAGCGGCTGCACAATCGGTACCATCTGTGACATCGTCGGTTGGGTTCTCTCTAAACTCGTTAGATACGAAACTTGTTCCACCGCGTCAGGTTGATGACTTTGTGGCTCGGTGACGGCTCTGTTCATCATATTTAACGCTTTCTTGAAGTGCTCTGGTAAATCATATTTATATTTCGTTATATATTTCAATGAATAAAGTTGTGAGGGGGCAAACAGAGAATTTATGTCTGTAGATTATAGCGTGATACAAAAGCATACTTTTCACCGCCGGTCCCGCTAGTAACCTGTCACTCAGCATCCCCTTCCAACCTATATACCAGGTTGCAACTTCGTCGTAATTGGGCGAAAATTTGAGCCAAAGCGCCAGGGCCTGCAGCCATTTTAGAAAGAACTTGTTGAGTAATCCTCCCATGCGTAGACCCAGTTTCACTGTTCCAAACATTGTCGATGTGGATTTATTACGAATTTGGACACGGCCATTTTCAACTTTGGAATTATAATCTTCATTAACCCTTTCGCGGCGAACAGCGCCTTTAGGCGCTCAGCTATAGATGCTCATTCTCAGCGAACAGCGCCGTTCGGCGCTCAGGCAAATTTACCCGCGGTGAACGAACAGCGCCAGATGGCGCCCATCCGGAGCCGCTCTCTTCGTACGAAGGCGCTGTTCGTTTGTTATCAACAACTGCCATTAATGTCCATTAAGTTGTTTTTGACGTGCTAGCAGCATACGCTTCTTGTGCAAAGGTTTTTTTTACATAGTCAAATATTATATACACACTGCGTTCGGAACGACTCGCGTATTTGGTCCGCGCGGTCGATCTGGCATCGGCTGCTTAGAGCGCAACTCTTTCCAGAGCACTCCNAAAAATACTTGCATATGTCTCTCGGCGAATATCTGCGTCCACGGTTGCAGCAATAATCTAGCGGATCTAACCGACGGATTTCAGCCTGCTAAAGTAGATCCAAGTTTTCTGCGTATTATAGGATAAATTCGGGTGTCCAAACGATTTTCTGAAGGAAATAATGCGCAATTAATACTAGCTCGTTTATAATCGAACGTGTGCACACTGATTAATACGTGTTGCATATGTATACTCACGCAATAATGGCAACCAAGGATGGAAGAATCCATGTATAGGCACAGTGTCAGTAAGAGGATTCCATTCTTCCACCTCCGATGTTAATTTCGGTAACACTAATAAGTCCAATATATTTTCCAAAATCCAGTTAGGCAACAGAGGCATTCAGTGCTCAATTAATTCGATCAGGGGTTTCGGCTGCCTACATGTCCATTGCCTGCACATAATTAAAAAAAAAATTATGAGATTATGATGTTGTAATTAAAAATTATATATGAGATTATGTTGTAATTAAAAATTCACTCTTCGGAATTATTGTGTAAACTAGTATGCTATATTAGTACTATATATTAGTGTTATATTAGGTGGTAAACTTAGTTCCTGCGGCTCATAGTTAGATGACGTTAGTTGTAGGTGTAATTTATTTTGACATCTGAAACTGGCTGCATTTTAGAGGTTAGACATTTCTCAATAAAATTCAGTGCGAAGAGATTCATTTAAGCGAGCAGTGCTATTTTTTCTTTTGATTGAATATGGAACGCGATAAGTTGTTTTTTCGACATGTGCTGCTTTATTACTTTGACTTGAAAAAAACTGCAGCTGCAGCTTATAAATTGCTTTTCGAAGCTTATGGCAATTATGCTCCATCGGAAAGAACATGCCAAGTATGGTTTTAGCGATTTAAGATTGGTGATTTTGATGTCAATGATAAAGAACGCTCAGGCCAACCGAAAAAGTTTGAAGACACCGATTTGCAGGCATTATTGGACGAAAACTCTATTCAAACGCTCCAAGAATTGTCTGCAGCATTAAATGTTACTCCGATGGCTGTTTCCAAACGTCTACATGCAATGGGAAAAATTCAAAAGGAGGGAAAATGGGTACCACACGAATTAACCGCAAATGCCATTGCGAATCGCTTAAACATCTCTATTTCTCTGCTCGCCAGGCAGAAAAAGAAGAGTTTTTTGTGGCGCATAGTGACTGGCGATGAAAAATGGATATACTTCGATAATCCTAAACGAAGAAAATCATGGGTAGACCCTGGCCAACCATCGACATCCACACCAAAGAGAAATATTCATGGCCACAAAGCAATGCTTTGCATTTGGTGGGATATGCACGGCGTCGTTTATTATGAGCTATTGAGACCGAACGAAAGTATCACGGGGGATCGATATCAATCACAATTAAACCGTCTGAATGAAGCATTGTTGGAAAAAAGGCCAGCAGTAGCCAGCAATCGACGTAAAGTCATGCTTTTGCACGACAACGCTCGATCACACGTTGCCAAAGCCGTCAAAGAAACATGATGCAGCTCTAGTGGGAAGTTCTCCCGCACACAGCGTATTCACCAGACTTAGCTCCTTCGGACTATTACTTGTTCCGGTCGATGCAGCACGGCTTGGTGGATACACACTTCAGAAATTACGAGGATGTGCGAAAATGGATCGACGAATGGATTGCATCAAAAGACCAATCGTTCTATCGTCGCGGAATCTACGCGTTGCCCGAAAGATGGGAAAAATGTATAGCTAGCGAGGGAAAATACTTCGATTAATGTATTTTTTGCTTTTGATGTCGAAATGAGTTTAAAAAAAAAAAAACCGCAGGAACTAAGTTTACCACCTAATAGTATGCTATATTGCATAGGGCGTCGCATGGTAGACGGCATATCGGTCTGCCATGTTTAGAGGTCCCAGGTTCGATTCCCGGCAGAGCCAGAAAAATTTTCATGCACTTCGTGGCTCCTCTTCAGTGATCTGGCGAACCACTGAGAGCATTATTCATGCCATGAAAACCTTTCTCCAATTGCTTTTCGGAATCGGCGTTAAATTGTAGGTTTAACATACAACCCGTATGCATGTGTATAATCTGCATGCACTACATGCACATGTGTGGGAAGGAAGTAAACCTCAGGTTTCTACAACAGGCTGTAGCGCCAATAAAAGAAGCATATACTATATTACTTACTGTATGGCTCCTCTGATCGATGGCATCCATATATTAGTTGATCGTATGGATGCATAGTTTGTGCTTGTAATGTACTGGCTCAATTTTCCAAAATTTCTTTCCATTCTTCAAACAATTTAAGTGGATTCTCCGAATCCATCAGTGGGTTCCAACTCTGCAGACAATCTTTAATTTTTGGAGCCACGAAACTATTAGCTAATCCACCAACCTCATTTTATACTTTTCGTAATAATTGTCTTTAAAATTTTTGTAAACCTCCGCAGTCTCTTGCAGCATCAGTTCGTTCATTTCATTCATTAATCTGTCCATCACTAGCATATTCTCCATCGTGTCGATTGATTGGCTATTTTGATCGATGACTTTTGGCAGGTTCTTCTTTTCTGTCTCCAGAACGATCACTCTGTCGTATAAATACGTCATCCGCTCAACATTTTGAATATCTTGCTTGCACATGCTCACTGGTAAGTTTAAATTATGCTGCGGTTCTGACAGGGCAAAATTTACTTTAGTCTTCTTATCGGACAACAGTTTCGTCGGGACACTGCTGACTACTGGCAATCGCATGATACCCACTAAGAATTCTCAGCTCTGGCCCTGTCATATCGATCACTTTGACCTTGCTCATTTTACTGGATACTGGAAGCCTTCTATTTGGTTTCAATCTTTCATACTCTAAAACCTGACCTATACTTTGTAAATATGCTCTCGTCTTCTTCTTATTGTTACTATTACTCTTTCACCATCGGGATGCTTCAGACTTAGATTCTTTTGCCTCTACTCCATCATCATCCTTCTTTACATTTGGAATTTTAGGTGTTTCCTCGGGATCATAAACATCAATTCCACCTCTTCCCTTTTTGACATGTGCTTCCACTGGTTCCGTTATTCCTTGCAATTGTTTGCCCAAACCTTTACCAAGTTCAAATCCCATCTAAATGAAGAATATTAGCATTTATTACTGTACCACTTCAACAGAATATATTAATAAATAATAGACTCTTTTTTTGTGATATATCTGAAGTAACAATTTACTATCGATACCTCTTGTTTGTTTTTCTCAACTCTTCATTCTACTTTCCAGCAATAATGGGTTTACTTGATTTCGCTGTTTACGCAGGCTTGCGATGTTGCTTCCCAAATTCAAAGAGAAAGACAATTGCGGTTTTGAGTTACTTGACCTCTCATCTCCCGAGCTAAATAAAAGATATAAATTTATGTTACTAAGATTATACTACAGAAGCAATGCAATGCTTGACGTTACCAAGAATTTACCCCTTAATGCTAGCCTAATAGGGATTCAGGCTGTAACTACATATGCCATATGATGAGCATTGTTGGACGTGCCGATTGGCTGTCGAATAGAGAAATTTCTAGTGCTTCCTAAATTTTCTCTATATGTTCTTAGATTCAAGATTAAAGGACTGTCTACAATAGCCGTAAAATGTGTAGTGAGACGTAAGCAGTAATCTAATTGACTAACCACGGTCGATTTATTTTTGAAATATATAAATTCAATTGGTCCATTAGCTTACGTCTTACTGCATGCTTTGCGGCTATTGAAGACGACCTTAAAGCGTAGTCTACAATGAGCAGTAGGAGTATAGAGTTCATAAGAAGTAAGAACAAGAAATTAACCAATCGAATGTAAGGAGAATAATCGACTATGATTGGTTAATTTTTTACTTTTCCTTCATACAAGCATATTCCTACTGCTCATTGTAGATCACATTTAAGACATACATGATGTTCAACTGGGACTCATTCTTTTTTTGCAGTACAAGACGATGATAGGCCGAAGCTAGGATAGTCTAGTAACTATAAGAAATGTAACATTTTTTGTATTACTCAAGAATACAGACATATACATGCTTATTAGCACAAGCATTTATTAACTGATTTAAGCATTGCAGTTATCGCACCTGTTGAATAGCGAGACTTTTTTTTACACGAGCATGCCGCACGAGCCGATATCTAGTTCGACGAACAAAAATGTCCGACTAGGGACTTTCGACAGTGGTCGTGAGTGATTTCGGGTAGTGGCTTTCGTTGACACCGTAACCTTGCGACCGACGATTAACGCGGCTCGTTGTATGTTATTAATGATTAACCGGGCGTTTTAAAACAATTACCATATTATTACGTCATCGCGCGCTGTGTTCGTGTACGCTCAGTGTTATCAATAGTCGCGCCGTATCGCTGTTTTTTTCGATCGCGCCGGTTCCTCATAGTTGTCGTCGTCGTTGCCGTCGTCGTCGTCAACGTCGTTGTCGCCGTCTCGTCGTTCGCGCATCAACTTTGGTTAGGAAGAGGAAGGTTAATTCCGGCGATGGGAAACGTCCACACCTGCGGCCCGAACGAGGCTCTCGTTGTCTCAGGTATGTGCTCCGAATTTTCGAGCGCTCGTCAATTAACACACGCACTGTCTCAAGCATTGCGACATGTGATTTCGGAGCTGCTTTGCTTGACGCATCGGAGATATCGCTCGGGCTGTCATCGTCTCGCTGTCCAGTGACGAATTTGATTGATTGGTTGATCGATTGATTGGTTGAGAGTTTCTGACGCCTAGTAAATAATCCGGGCTCTCGCATACGCAAACGGAGAGCTCGTTTGTGAGTTATTCGTAAACTTCATTTAGGAAAAAGGAGGGCTATAGAAAGGTGGGAGAGTGATATTGGTGCCATCAGGAAATTACTGTCAATTACTACCAATGAGATACGGATATTTAATGAGAAAGAAGAAGGTGGAAAGATGTTTCGTTGCTTTTTTGCATCTGGTACTTTTCCGATTTAAACAACTCATTGAGCTGAGCGCTGAAGAGATCGTTAATCATCGTTAAATTGTTCACTGGAACTTCATAATTCCAGAAAGTGATGATAAGAGCTTTGCGGAAAACGATAAAACCTGGGTGCGTCCGTTTGTTTGTTTGTTGATCGTTGCTATCTTGAAATTATATTTTACGTATGTGAGAACATACGGTTAGATTATTTTCTATTGAATTTTAATAATTAGAAGTTGTAGATGTCTTGCGAAAGGATATAGCTGTCGTATCGCAGCTGCTTATTAAGCTAACAAGCTGACATCGAGCTGGTTATTCAAATTAAATTATGACGTCATTTTCAGATAACACACTGTAGATTTGTGTGCTATCTTCATTCACTGCATCATGTGCATCTAACGCTGGTTGCAATTTTATTAGGATTTAACATATCATAAATCCACCACTGCCATCCAATCACTTTAGTCATTTCTTATTATTTTTTTCTGACAAATCGTCAAGAAATTTACTATCATCCGAAATAGGTTATTATAATGACTTTTTTTTTCTGAGTTGCCCCTAAATTTGTAAAATATAGGCGTTCTATATATTTTTTTTCTGTTTTCCTAAATAAAACTACATATAAAACTCCAAAAATGTACTGTCTCAAACTGCACTATGAAAAGAACTCGCTATATATTAAATTATTCAAAGATAAACTTCGGAATTTAAGAGTATTACTTTGCCAAAATGGCCTTTCTTACTCTCAAAGTTGAATAAAAAATGTCACTTTTGATCACTATTTTGATGTCAAAGAGATTATCCATTGTCACTTCCTCCCAAGAAGCAGTCATTATTTCATTTTTTCCCTTGGCTGGATCGCAGCACTCACGAGTAAATCTCATGAGTTTGCCATGTGGGTTTCTTAATACATTATATAAAAATAATTTATTTATGGACGGAAATAATATGTTACAAGTTTAAAAATCTGCCAAATATGTATATTAAAGTTAAAAATTATATAACATTATATACAGGTTGGTAAAAATAGTCAATATAACATTACGAAAGTATTATACATGCAACACTTCTTTTAACTAATTGATGATTAAGTTATGTTTTGTTAACCGCCATTAAAATAAAATTAACACTGAAACTATCGATGATTAACGCATACCTTTCCACCGCAGCAGTTTAAATAAGATTTTTGAAAGAAATATGTAATGCAGAGGAAAAAATATTTATTCGCTTACATATTGCGACAAGAATTACGGGAAATCTCAAGAAATGCGCCACTAGAAGTTGAAACAATTTTTATCAGAAAAAATTACAGAAACCGTTTATTTGACCGATCGTGTTAGATTTAGCTAATATACTGCTAATATACTTGGAATGCATATTCTGTAACTTTTCTCCCCACTAATAATTTATGATTAACTTTTAACGTAATAATGGAATGTAGTACGCGTAAAAATCTCTACTTTTTACGTATGTGTATTCAAGATGATTTAAAAGAAATAATAATATTTATATAAAAGATATGTATATGCTATTTTTTTTTGTACAATATCGTACAGCGTCGTTGGTGACGTGAGATTTTTGTGAAACGAGCTCTTCGATTTTTTAGGAAACCTTGGTAAACGCAGTATAAAATTATTTCCATAGAATCTCGAGCGTAATATTCGCCTTGTGCTAGTTTGGCTGGAAAATACGCGGGAAGAGGCTATGACTCATCTCCCCTTTTACGTCACAACTTAAACGTACCGTTGGCAGGCAACAGTCGCCTATTATTGGACAATATTCATCGTGTTTTTTCCGCTCCTAATCGCTTCTCTTATTCTCAATATATTCGCGAGCGTTTTATAAATTGCGTCGTACGGAACACAGAATATAATATGAAAACGCGTACGATTCTTGTAGCGATTAGAAAATTGTGTCAGTAGCGTCGAGACGATCGATGTGGTCTCGTTCGTGTAAAAACATAATGAATATGAACTTGAATATTAGTCATTATTAATTGCATCAACGCCTATTGCTGACTGCGGTTATAATGCGTTGACATTAATTCGTAGTTGTCGGTACATTTGGGAAAACGAGAAAATATTAGTTTCAAAAAAGGAGGAAAAAAGAGATAAGTATATGTATCGATATGATGCACTCGATGCACTCATACTACGAAAGATATTATGTTTCTACGAGAAAAACTCCACGCGATTAAGCAGAAATGACTTGCATTGATGATATCAGGAGTAAAATTCGCACAAGAATTACTCCGGCTTAACAGTGATTCGCGCTTATAAGTTGCTCGACATTCGATAACACTTTAAACTTTTACATTCTGAATTCCAGGGTTATCCGGTTATTTATTGGCAATTATATAAGTTAGTAGTTTTATATGTTGGGTGGGGTACACTTGTTCTATAAGGACAGACGTATATCGCGCCTAGGCACGCCTTTTTTTTCAATGACCAGTGAAGAGGAAATTAACGATCATGGTTCGTCGCTGTTATATATTCCAGGCGCCGAAAGGATGGTGTGAAGTCGTTTGCTGGAATCGTCGGAATTCCGAGATTCCTAACAGAACGACATATTTTCAGTTCACAATTGCTGTACCATCTTCTGACTTATTCTCAATCAAATACTCTAAGTTTCTCACTCTTTCTCTCTCTCTCTCTCTCTCTCTCTCTCTGTGTTAAGGAGAATTCACACCTTGACAGAAAAGCAGAAAAGCAGCAGGCAATCAGGACTCGTGCTGGTAATCGACACTTTTTGCTTCATCTACTACTTTATCTATCTTACTACCAGAGGGAGTTCTGATCGACCGCTGCTTTTCCTCTTTCTGCTTTTCCGTCGAGGTGCGAATTCTCCTTTAGAGATGGCGCGGTCACAGAGTCATTCCGCACTGTACCAAGTTTCCTTGATCATATCCGCGGCTTTCTCACCGATCATAAAAATACCTGCGTTCACATGACCGGTGGGCATCACGGGCATGATCGAGGCGTCCGCTACTCGCAGCCTCTGAATGCCGTACACCCTCAGTTGCGGGTCCACAACTGCGTGAGCGTCCGTCTGCGGCCCCATTTTCACGGTCCCTATTTCATGGTTCATCATAGATGGCAGATGCTTGATGGCGCATCGCCAATAATCGTCGGAAGCGAACTCGAATTGCCGGCAACCTGGTATTTTAAGGTCGTGCAATCGGCTGCCGTAAGCCTGGAAGGCCTCGGTCTTGGATATGTTGATGGCGTGCTTCACTCCCTCGAGGATGATCTCGAGATCGGCTGGATGGCTGAAGAAGTTCGGGTCCATCTTGGGCGGCTTGAGCGGGTCCTTCGATCGCAACGTGAGCCGGCCGATGCTTCTGGGTTGTTGAACGATGGGCCAGATCGACCAGGCGTCTTGATTCTCGATAGGCTTGAATACCGCGTCGTACAGTTCATCCGTGATTCTCAAGACTTCCTTCATGACCATACCGTTATCCGAGTGTATGGAGCCGGACACGAACAGGAGCTCGACGTCCGGCTTCTCGTCGACGGCATATTTGGTCCTCACAAATGCCAGTGCCTCGGCGCCACCCGGTATCGTCATGAAACCGTCCCTGAATAGCAAATATTCCAGCATCACGCTGGGAGTTATCCTGCTCTGTGTCAGAGAGACGCTCTGGTTCACCAGGAAAGTCAGCCCGAGGAAGCCGATGTGCTCGTACATGTTATAGCCGACCTTGGAGTCCTGTATCACCGGGATACCCAGTTCCTCCAGGTGATCCCTAGGCCCGATCCCGGAGAGCATCAGCAATTTGGCCGAATCGATCGTACCGGCCGAGAGGATGACTTCCTTCGTGCACAGCACTTTCTTCAGCGTACCGTCCTTGATATATTCGACACCATACGCGCGCTTGTCGCCGTCGATCAACACTTTCGTCACTCTAGCACCGGTGACGATGTTCAAGTTCGCGCGATTGATCGTATCGAGATAAGCCCTGGCCGCGCTGCAACGCGCTCCTCGGTCCATATTTACCTGAAGGTATGAGAAACCTATCTGATTCTGGCCATTGTAGTCCACGACGTCGTAGCCGAGTTCTCGGCCAGCTTCCAGGTACGCGTCCGCCAGCTTCGTATGGCAGGGCACGTATTCCACGCACACGTAGCCGTTTTCACCGTGGTACGAGGAGTTGCCTTGATGCCTTGTTGTCTTGATGCCTGATCGCACGAGAACTCGAATTATATATCGTCACGAGCCTCATTTTCGCGCGTGCAATTTTTCGCCTTATCGAGGAAGAGGAAAATCTAGAAGGAGCAATCGTTTGGTGCAATCGGCGTCATGTATGCTGTATCATTCCCTGGATTGAAACTTTTTATTATTGCGCGATTTTTAATCTCTCATGTGTACACATAAGGTCGAAACTACTGAAATAAGAGCCATTGTAATTGTAGAGTTACTCCTGCGATTTTCGACCTTATATGTTGTGCATCAGACTGAAAATTATGTAACTCTCCGTCTAAGGAATAGTACAGTACACGCAATATGCACACTGTTGACCGTGTATATGCTGTCGTGGTAAAAAGAGGAACCTACTTGGTATGTTGAATCTTTCGCTTTTCTTGAAGTACGGAAAAACGTCCGCGTAGGACCAGCCCACGTTGCCCAAACTAGCCCAGTTATCGTAATCTTGTTTGCTCCCGCGCGTGTGGATCATGTAGTTCAAGGTGCTCGTACCGCCCAACGCTCTGCCACGCGGCCAGGAGCACTGATGATCGATCATCCCTAGACAAGCGTTATTCTGCGGCTCTACCTTGTATCCCCAGTTAAAATCGGTTAATTGGTAATAGCCGACCAATATGGGGACTTTGTTGAGTAGGTTTTGCGGGTATCCCGCTTCCAATAGCAGGACCCTCCATTTCTTGTTCTCCGACAGGCGATTAGCTATCGCGGAGCCTGCCGATCCAGCTCCTACGACGATGAAGTCGTACTTGGCGATATTCGTGAATTCAGGACTTTCTCCGACTGGCTGGATGTTGTTCTTAACGATATCCAGGAAGAGATCGCCTCTGCAGATCGACGCGATGACGGTGAATATCAGCAGAATTATCATACTGTACTGCAACACGTTCTATAACGTTCAGACGTGTCTTATAGGAACAATATCATGAGTGATATCTCAATACTTCGAAATATTATCTTGTAAATTATCTTATAAAGACTTATGTCAAAGTCACATATTTTCGGATCGAACGAGTAGTGCACGAGAAGATTCATTTTTAATCGGTTTTCTAATAGTCGGAAAAATATTAGATTATTGAATTTTATAATACGCTTCTTCGTAGATCTCGAAATTTGCAGGTCTATGGCCGAGCTGTTTCGCAACATTCTGCATTAATTCATTAGCCCGCGGGCTTTCGTATGAATAAATCAACATATGTCCATAACGACGTCTTTCATGGTATCTCTTTTAACGAAAATTTTTTCGATTTTTTACGAAATAGATACTACTGGCTTCGAAAAAAATGGGACGAATTATGAAATTTATCACTATATGTTACGCTATAATTCCGTTATTGGAATGCGCATGAGCAGCGCAAACGTAACGTACGTGTCGCAATTACTTTCAGATTTTTCTTACGTGCTCATATATAAGATATTATGGAGGGTTTCGATCACGATATTGCATAATCTCTTTGTACTTTCATAATACGTACCGTTCGCGATTTTTACGGGCCACCGAAGTGTCTTTTTTCACATTTAGCCGATCCACGGTCAACTTTCTTGCACACAGCCAGTCGGGAGTATGTTGTCTTCAACGTGGTATGACGACTTCTTCGTCGGTTCTTAAACTGCCGTTGAATGCTTTCTGACCGGACGCTGACTGACTTACCGGAGAATATACTTTCTCGTTCACGTAACGCTCAATCGTCTTTACTTATGTGCAGTTTACATTTGGATCGAGAACCCCCACTTAAGCTATTACGTTTTATATATCGAAATCCTGTATAATTATCTTTACATTTTTTATACATTATTTGCGCTTATTCTATTATAACGTATATTTATAATAAATAGGTGTATCATACGGTGTATTGAGATAATATTCGTTATCTTTTCGAGTATTAACTTAACGCACAGTTTTTTTGAAAAAAACCGGCCAAAAAAAATCAATTTTTTTTATGTAATAAATTTTTTTCTTTGCTTTCACATTGTTAATTTTTTTCTTTGCTTTCACATTGTTATTTTCAATTCTCGATTATATTCGAGTGTGCACAGTTTGGCCTGTTTAGCGCGCTCGAATTAACTCGAGCGTATAAGTTAAGGGGTTAATTGTTGTAAATATAGTCAATCAATTTGTCATATATTGGAATGAATACATCATCGGTATGACGTTTTTATAAAAATTCTTTATAATAAAAAATTCTTCATTTTATTAAGTTTTATACAATGTTATTATAAAACAATGATACACCTTTTTATTATAAATATATGGAAAAATCGTAATGGTGTTAACATGAAAGAAGATTAAAGTATTAGCGAGATAAAAGTATTTTTTCCGTATTTACGTGAAGATTTCTCTGGCCCACTTTTAACCTCAGTTTAAAATAACCGGCGTAACGACCGGCGTCGAAACCTTTTACATAACGTTCCCGCCGACGAAAAATCTGCACGTACTTGAACTTACAAACTTTCATTATTTCGTACATAATCTTACGGGAGGGTTTAATAAATAAATGGGATAATATTTCATTATCAAAATATAATAGATTAAGCGAATGTGACTCTCCACATAAACAGCAAACATAGAATTTCGTTTAGTCATATATATATATATATATATATATATATATATATATATATATATATATCTTAGTCTAGTTTAGTCATATATATATATATATATATATATGTATGTATGTATGTATGTATGTATATAAGCATTGGAATCACATTCATAGTTTTGCACTTAGGATTTACATCGTTCGTTGACGGAACAAACATATCATTTTTATCTGACCGATATTTATCGAGGCTTTTATACCGGCTATTATTTATTCTGTCCTGATGTCCTGATGGTCAAATTATAACGTGTTATACGTGTCAACGTAACAGCCACGTCTATGAATTATATATTTTATTATAAAAAACGCACATATACATACAAACAGACACATACACGCATACAAAGAAAATTTCTTTAATCGATATTATCAATCATAAAAATGATGACTTGAGTTTTAAATATGAAGGGTCGGACTAAGACTTATGATTTAAATCTCTCACGATATATATAAAAATATCCAGAGATACTTTATCAAAGGATGCAGTCGTTATATTTTCAAGTATCCCCATTCTTCCTTAATCATGTCCGCCAGCTTTTCAGCAATCATATAAACGACTAGATTTATATGGCCCGATGTAATATCCGGCATAATAGATGCGTCAGCCACTCGTAATCCTTGAACACCGATAACCTGAAAACGTACTTGTTAACTTGCAGTCAATATATACATATGTATAACCGTAAGTAGATTGGTGTTTTTATAATCAATACCTTCAGCTTAGGGTCAACAACAGCGGTCGGATCATTACTCGACCCCATTTTGCACGTGCCAGAGTAATGGTAAATAGTATAAGGAATCGTTCTTATTGCACACTCCCAGTAAGCATCGGAATCGTTCTCGTAGCTCTCGCATCCGGGAAGTACATCGTTTATCAGTTGCGAACCAAACGCTTGCATCGCCTTTGTGCGACTTATGTCTATCGAGGCTCTTATACCGGCGATTATTGTTCTGATGTCTTCAGGATCGTCGAAGTAATTCGGCGTGATTTCGGGTTTAACGTTGACATCGTTAGCCAGTAATCTTATTTGACCGCGACTTTTCGGCCTTAACAACATCGGCATTATGGTCCAGCCGTATGTCCCTTCATGTTTGTTCCAGATTTGACACATCTGTGTATTTAGATTCGACGTTATTGGCGTAACGAGGTCTCCTTTGAATGAAGCACCGATAAATAGTAATTCAATATCTGGCAAACCGCTCCGCTTTTCCGGATGCTTGGTATTGATAAAAGCAAGGGCTTCGCACCCACCCGGAATCGTCAACGGTCCCGATCGTGTTGTTAAAAATTCCGCTATGTATGGCTGCGTTATATCAATCATATCAATGAGTTCTAAACTTGTCGAAGTATTTATCTGGAACGATAATCCACCAAAAGCCACATGATCCATCAGGTTCTTTCCTACCGGCGCGTCCTTGACGACGTCTATGCCGAGTCCGACGAGATGTTTTACCGGTCCAATCCCTGACAGCATCAGCAACTGAGGCGATCCGATAGCACCCGCGCACATGATCACTTCATTTTTCACAAACACGCGAATAATTTTACCATACTTGGTGAACTCCACGCCAACCGCTTTATTCTGGGGGTCAATAAGTACTTTTCTCACCATGCTTTTGTGTGTTATGTGAAGATTCTTCCGATCGCGCGCCGGTTGCAAGTAAGCCCTGTTGCTACTTAGTCGAATACCGTTCTTGATTGTAGTCTGCAAGTACGAGAATCCAATCATATCCTTGCCGTTGTAATCTACCAACGGATACCCTAATTCTTTGCCAGCTTCTAGAAAAACCTCTGCCATTAGTGTGCGAGTTTGTGGATTTGTAATGTGTAGTGGCCCTTGAGTTCCATGATATTTGCTGTCGGATCGCAACTCCGGAATATCTATCGTTTCCATTTTTCTAAAGTACTTGAGAATGTCTTCGTAGGCCCAGCCGTCGTTTCCCATCTGGGCCCAACGGTCAAAATCTTCGGCGCCTCCTCTAGTGGCGATCATGAAGTTGAGCACACTACTGCCGCCCATTACCTTTCCTCTCGGCCAATTGCACCTTTTTTTATTCATGCCGAGACAGTACTTCTTCGACGGCTTGGTTTGATACTTCCAGTTGATCTCGTTACTTAACTGCAGGAAATGAACTACCATCGGGATGTCCATGAGGAGATTCTCGTTAGGCCCGGCTTCTATCAATAATATCTTGACGTCAGGAATCTCGCTCAACCTCGCGGCCACTGTTGCACCCGCAGTGCCAGCACCAATCACTATAAAATCGTACACTGCTGCTTGCTGCGGGGTCACATCCACTACTTCTTTTTCTAAAAGGCGTTGACCTTGATTTAGAAAATTTACAATCCCGTACCCTAGTCTGAGTAGATTATTTGAGATGTTACTGGGATTATTGTTATGAAAATTGCTATATGTCGACTGCGTTAATCCATTTAACTGGAGCGTCAAAATAATGCCAACGATACCGAGGAAATGCAAGAGATTGAGCGTTGTGTGGAACATGTCCGAGTGCAAGTTGTTCTGTGAATGTCTCGAGTGGGGAAGAATGATAGGGAACTACATCTGGATCGATGAGTGTTGCTTACATATATACCTGTATTAAAACTCGCTTGCGACATAGGTGTCACTGCGGGCAAGAAAACATGTGGCAAATAGTTTCTGAGACGAGCAAAAAAAAGGTCATCATTGATTAGTCATAATGAGAGATGGTTAAGCAAAACATATTTCTTAGCAACTATTTATGCAAAGTATACATTCTTCTTTTTCTTAGTAACTTCTATTATACGGAAATATATTTTGTATATTGAATATGTGTCTCGTTAAAAAAAATATATGTTTAAATATAATATATAAAAATCATCACAATTTAGAAGAGAATATTTCAAAGGAAAGTTATAGAGTTTGGAAGAGGATAGAAGTGACCTTAATTTTGTCGTAAGATTGGAGAGAGAGATACGATAATTTTAATTTCATCGGATAATCAATAATTCAAAAAAGCAATTCATTTCCAAGGATAACTTTTTTTTCAACGGAGTTATATAGTCTTTTATATAAATCGATTTCTTTGTCCATTCTGCGTATAAAAATACTAAGATAAAATCATTGTGCATACTTTCCGAGATATTTTTCTTTTTATTCTGATATTCTCCAGCACAAAATATAAAATATGTCATG